TTTATAATGGAATTCTTTTTTCTTCCAGCACTGTCAATTCGTTATATCCAGAGTTGACTGTATTTAATTCGAGACAATACAAACCATCCAAATGACTTAGAAAAAATCCAAATGAAGGTTGAAAGGATATTTCCGATCTTCAGTAAAGCAATATCAAGAATTAGCAAAGCAAAATCCAATAACAAATTTTCACCCGAAAGTTTTCAAGCATCTTAAATTCATCGGAGTTAAAATAGGTATGTATGCAAACTTTTACAGAATACAAAAATTTATAAAATCATGATTAAGTTCAACTCCGGTGAATTTAGAGATTTGAAAACTTGAGTCGGAAATGTCATAAAAGCAACTAATTTTTCCAACCATAGTCACTAACAAAGTATTCCGCCTTCCATATCTATCAGAAAGAATACCGATAAATGGAGATGCCACAAACTGTAAAAAAGAATATAAAGAACCTATAGCACCACCGAGAAGTACTAAATCCCATTTCGGATTGTTACTCCCACCGCCAATTAAATGTTTGAAGTTTTGTATTTGATAGAAGAACCAACTTAACAAAGTCGTCTAAATAAATTTTCCAAAATCAGATACAGTAATAATTGATGGATTTTCATTTAAAGAAAAGTTCATAGATTAATACCTCGTCTCCTTGTTCTCTTTCTCGATAATCTTGTAATAGCCTAGGAAATAGCGGCAGAATAATTGTAAAGGCCAAGAGATCTAGCAATAATGCTATAATAACTATTCGTACTGTTGATTTTGTTACCGGAGCAGGTGACAACTCTTTGTTTTGTGATCCAATATTAGACATACTTTGCTCCAAGTATTTTATTATTTGAATTAATAAAAGAATGCGTTTTTGAAGTTGTTTTTATAGAAAAATGAGTGACCATGCACTACTCATTACTGGTCAGATTGTTGGTAGCATTAATTATCAGAAGATCATTTTTCTCAAATTTGGTTGGTTAACCATTATACCTTACAGCGCAGTACCTCAAATTAAATACAGTCAACTCTGGATATAACGAATTGACAGTGCTGGAAGAAAAAAGAATTCCATTATAAAACTACTAATACTGTATTAAAAGTTAAAAATTTCGATATATCCATAGCTCGTTAATACTTATTGTTACTG